ATCGAGACACTGAACAGAGACAGAAACGTGGAACGTTGATTGGAAATCGGTCGAAAGGGTCGCGATTGATCGTAGCCATAGGAAAGAAAATCGTGTCTACGGCCTCGTCGATAACAACATCGCCGGCTCTCGGTCTGTCTGCTGGACTCGATTCTCCTAGGTAAATGTCAGTTTGCAAGTTTTTGGCCGATTGGAAAACTTAGAAAGCAGGGAACTTCTTCGAACTGTCATTAGTTAGCGAATCTCGTGTGTGTGCCCGTGGTAGGCAGACGGTTTCATTCAATCTTGTCTGTCTGTCTCCCTATAACAAACATGTTGACAACGGTTGGATCGCCAGATACCGGAGAATGAATTAGAACAGACGATCGAGTAATTAGGAACTATTTCCCAACGAGTTGCTCTCTATTTCCGATAATTTTCGAGAAAACTTTCGAAACGGTCGTTTTGGCTCGATTAGGTCGATAGTATTTCTGGTCTCTTTAACAACTTCGAACTTTCCCTACACCAGAATAGCCATTGGAAGATTAAAATGAGAAATAGAAGAATGTTTCAGCGAGAAACATTGAAAGGAAGCTCGAAATGATTGAACCAAGTCTGAGAGAAATGAGAGAAATCGAATTTCAGCCAATAATTGTCTCCAAACGTATGTAATCTGGCGGCGAAGGGCCCGCGGAATCTCCTTCCACGTTGATTCGATTTCCCGTCGCTCCGGATAGTAGCTTCCGGCGAAATCTCCCACGGCGCCCTCTGGCCCGAGTCTCCGAGTATACGGATCCAGCCAATAAGATCGTCAGCGCACCTGGCGACTCTCCCGTAACCCTCTCTCAGCCCGTCGATCCCAAAGGCATCGGTCAAATTCGATTTTCCTTTTACATCGAACCGAACCATTCGGAATAGCGATCAGTTCTAGTACCGGGGGAGGACCTTATTCAGGAAGTTCGCGTCGGCTACTATGGTGCCGGTCAGTCAGCCAGCCCAGTCAGCGAGCGAAGTGGTAAACTAGATCCGTCTACAGATAGGAAGAGGATAGAAGCAGAATGGGGTCAGCTAGCCAATCCCCTCTGGAAGGCACACCAATCTCCCGCGCTGGTTACATTCGCGTGCTCATCCTCGAATCTACCACATCTCTCTTCCTCTCCTTTCTTCTGTTTTCCACGCTTTACATTCACCGTTCCTCCATTTTCCATTCGCGTTTCCAAATACATACCAAACGAATTCGCGCGGACCGTTCCTCCAATACTCTACCGATTCTCTACCAATGTACTCGAGAGGATTTCGCGTGAAAAAGAGAATCCCTTGAAAAAACTAGAGCGACGTCTGTTCCGTTAACGGCCGGGTCCAGGGGTTGCATAATGCCCTGCCGCGAAATCCTTGCCCGACTAGCACGGCATCAAAAGGAAATCCAGTTCCAACACCGTGGAAATTTTGCGGCTTCTATCGTCGACAGAGCGGAGCAAACAGCTTGGTCCCGAGCTGATACCCAGCTATCCCGCTGCGACTCGAAATTTCGAATTCGTCGGATGCAAAGGATGAAAATGGACGCGAAATTGGGCACAGATATACCTGTCGGTGGATATTTCTTTGTGCCGGTTAACGAGCCGCGATCAGAGGGACCGTTCCATCTTTGAGTTTAGGCGCACCAGGGGAATGTCTACCCCCTGGGAATTCTCTCCGTCCGGTAGGATTCGTTTGCGAGAACACAGCGTTGCGAGCTAACGAAATAATTACTAGTTTGCATAACTCCGTCGCGCGACTTGCGGGCCAGGTAAACAAGCCTAATTATGAAAAATACATATTTCAATGCGCGCCGAAACGTCGCGGCTTTTCTCTGATGGCCGTGGCTGGCCGCGTACACTCGCTAATGAACTAATTACAGGCACACAAGACTGACGCGTGGCAAAGCAGCACCTCGCGAATACGAGACCTCAAGACCTGTTCTAACCGTGATCCGTCTACGAGGGTGTGTACGTGCATCGTCTCCTACGTAGTCGAGGCTTAATTTCGCGTTCCGTTGATGAGACTGTCTGCATACTAAACCGAAGGAGTGGGCCAGTCGCGCGATATTAACATGCAATCGGACCTCTCTTCCGTGTAAGCCGGTTACGACGTAGCGTCGCTTAATTCAATGTTCATTCGATTAATCCAGCATGGTTCTCGGTAGAAATAACAATAGTTCGGAGTGGTCCGTATCCGAGACAACCGTATTGGCAATTTGAAACGACGCTCGATAAATCGAGCAAGTCGGCGAGCTTATCTACAACGTGCACCGATAATTTGACACGGAAACGACGTCTGTTCCGCGAATTCTTTATCGTCTTCCACTCGGCTGTTCCATTCTTCGTTTCGTACAGAAGAAAACGTCGATTCCTTGTCACATTGTCGCGTATCGCGTGTTACATTGCTTGTGTACTCGAATGCAATGGATTGCAATTAGATCTAATTGCACGTGTCTTATTTGAATAAATGTCACTATTTCTTTTTTTAAATATTGTATTATATATCTAACAATCTGCGCTTAAATAAAAGATACGAGCTCGTGAGAGTCACTGTATACAAATATCTATAAAATATAATTCATGTTTCAAGCAGGCTTTCTTTACTCGGTATCCCTTTCCTTAGCGATCGTAACACGATTTCTTCAACCACCACCGTAATTTTCGTTTCGATACAAGGACTGAACGATCGAGCGATAACCCTTTTGTATAAACGTACGGTGTTTCAAGGTTCGCAGGACCATTTAAAGTATATCTCGGTCCACCTACGGATTCAACCGTTCCGTTCGCGAGCCACGATACGGGCTCCGGGTCGTTCCGCGAGGCGAACGTGACACGTAAAAATATCATGTAGGGTACCGATACATCACGCGATCAGATAAAGCAAAGGGGAGCTGACTTCGTCGTTTGTCGTACCGATAGAATCTCGGTCTCGCGGTGGCTCGCTTTATTTTTGCACCCAAGCATTTTGATGACTCAACTGCTGGATGGACGTTGCCGGCTCGCGGAGGGTACCCGGTGAATCCTTCGTCACGACGTTCACTTCCTTCCCAACGAGTTTCTCGAGATCGGGATCACGAAGTAGCCTCTAACCGCTTTCCTAAATCCTGCTTAGCGGTTACGTGAACAAGATCGGCATTCGCGACAACGACGTCCTCGAGTCTTCATTTCGCGCGACGTTTCTGCATAACGAAAATTCCTACCATCCACCGCGCGCACAATTTCTACACCGTTCACTTCAGCACTGATCTATGCGTCTAATTTCTATTTCGTTTGAAACAAAAGTCAACGTAATCCTTTGTAACAGCAAACACCAACACCGCGGTAATTACTTTATTGACAAAGCAATTCTCGCGGCGAGGTTTTTACACGCGAGTAACGCGCGCTCATCCATGGAAATTCTGCTCGCAAACGTTCTCCTCAACTTCGCGTTTGGCTGCCAATATTTGCGCTACGGGCGTCAATTATTTACGGGTACACAGAGTCGCGAATATTTAGCGTTCGCCCGACCACTCGTCGTTCAGTTTCGCGTACGGGTGCGTTCGTCAGCCTCGCACAGGCCTTCCCGAACGACTGCGAACGATGTTGACAGGCGAAACGCAAACCACCTTGTTTATTTTCGAAATGGCTCGTATCGTTCCCGCGGGTTTGTCTCGGGACCTCTGTGCCATCGATAAGACGAGACACGTTCGAGAACAGAAAAACATGCTCGATTTCCATTTCTATCAGCCGTTACCACCGTTTCAAAGCAATTACGAACAATCGGTAATTAAGACGTTCGGTAGTCGCGATCGTAATTTCATGGACGTTAATTAAATCTCTGCTGGTCGTTCGTGCCAATTAGTTTTTTACCCGACGTTCGGTCCGCGAAAAACACTCCTGTGACATCGGAAGACATAACTGCATATCAATGGTGCCATTAACGATAGGAGCAACCCCTTCGAGGCGCAACGAGAAACGGCTGTGCCCTGCTAGGCCGCCATAAATTGTTCGGCTGTACGGCTTCGAGCAAATCGCAACACGCGCGTAATCTCCTCATCCCTTCGAGTTTAGCCGCCGCTGGTACCAACGAGTGGACGGCTCTATCGTACCTCCATCTATTTCCGAGTTAATTACCGGCGAAATAAAGAACTGGGTCGGCCTGTCCCTACAACCGGTAGGAATCCCAAGAACGAAGTCTGCCACTTTGATAACGAGTCTTTGAATTTCAACTTACACGTATGTTGATACCATTGGCTCGCTAATGATTCTCTGCCATACCGGCCTCAACTTCCCACAACACCGACACGTTTCTTTCTTCCACCCTCGTTAGAAGCGGACCCGTGAACCGTTCAGAAATTCCTGACACTTTACGCGCGTATTTGCAAACCTTAATGCCGGTTAATTAACGTTAATTGCGACGCGCAACGAATCGCCTTCGTATTTCCACGATTTCGCAACGTCGCGCACCAGTTGGCGCCCTCCTAATTCCACCTCTTTGCTCCATTCTCTCGTTAATCCTTTTATGCCGCGATCGTTCTAATCGCTTTGCTTTCGGACCAGATATTTTCCTGCTAGAAAAAGGTTAAGCTCCTTGATAAATTGGGGCCACGCGTGCGGCACATTGGCACGTTTCCTGTAATCTTCCATAATTTAAGGACCGAGCCGGGGGCTCGCAATTAGTCGCGCAAATTGAACTATGGCAGATTTGACTTAATTAACGTGTGAACCGCTGTGCGAATCACCGGTGAGATTGATCGAGAAAAAGAAGTCGGGAACCTAAGTAGCCTGAACCTGACACATATACTCTAATTACAACGAAAGGATTAATTATTTCGCGACGATGTAGCAGGAGGTTGCTCAATTTCCTGAAGAACCGTGATAAATAATTCTAGCTCGGTTGGCTGGCACCGTGCTCAGCTGCTCAATTTTTCTCGTAAATCCATCAAACGATCCTCTGGCGAGCAGTTTGAACGCAGTAGCGAAATTATCTTTCACGCCGGAAGCCGTATAAATCAAACCACCTACCGTGATCTTCAGGTCCCGTGAGTCGCACGTATCGTATCGCCTGCTGAAACGAAGAACCGTGTGCGTCTTGTTCTCGAAACCCAGTAGCAGGCAATAATCTTGGCTCAAGTCCATCTGCGGATTTTTGCTGGTCTCCTTTACGTGACGATCCTGAAACAAGCGATAACTCATGGTTAAATTGTGCACCGATCAAATATATCGATCGTTTCGCTCTCGAATCGTAAGAACTTTCGCGATTCCCTTCGTGTCTGGTTCGCTGAAAACGTCAAACAATCGGGCGACTTACTTCGCTTTTTTACTGTTTATTCGCCTGATCTCGCGACAAACGCTATTCCCTCGAGGACAAAAGGTACGAAAGATCGCGAACGAGAGAACGGGATGCGAAGGCGAGAGGGCAGGAAAGAATAAGAAAGTATTCACCGATCGCTCTTTTTTACTTCGATCCGACGCGTTTCGGGGATGACACACCTATTCGGACAGCGAACAGAAGAGGCGGCGAGTTAGTTAACAGTGGCGAAACGGCGCGGCGCCCGGACCTTCGAAGCGTCGAAAGGGCAAGTTTTTCTGCGAGATTCCTGCTCGCTGGCTCGACATAATTAACCGCGGTTCGCGTCGACCGGCAACGCGTTGCCTTCGACGCCTTTCAACGCCATTGTTCCTTTCGTGACCGAACGGCCGAGCGGCTTTTTTCCCGTCGTTTCGGCAGGCTTTATTAGAATTTAATTTAGCATCGACGCGAGACCGGGTACCCGACCTCTGTCGCCGCGTGAGCCCGATCGAGTCACGCGTGTTATACTCCTGGCCTCCTTTTGTCCCGGCACGATTTGCCTCGCCGTCTCGCCTCTCACCTGCGCCACTCGCATGTACACGCGTGAAAATACAACGGCTCGTGGGCCAGAAAAAGACGGAATATCCATTTACGTTGACCGCGACGCGTGAAAAGCCCGAATGAGGCCGGCAAGTAGGGAACGAGCTGATTGGATATAAAGTATAAAGGCGTTCGCAATAAAAACGATACGAGCGGAAGGATAGCAAAAACAAAGAACTGTACGAGCGATAAAAAAGCTGGCCGCAGGTGTAGTAACAGCCGAAGGGAACGATATTGTCAAACTTATGTGGCGTCGCAGGCTGCGCGCCATTACAACCCTTTATATAGATTTTTTAGCTAGCGCAGATTTTTATCAACGACTCATTCAACGATTTTCTTCTTTCCGGTTTTTCCTTTCCTCTTTTTTATCCGCATCCTTTACTATCGTGAACTGCACGAAAATGTAACGCAGTGAATCTGAGAGAGAATTCAAATTCCTCGAGGAAACTGGAACCATTCTTTCGCTTTGAGAGCGCGACGATCGTCGACCAGCTTTGAACCGGCAGTCTCCGTCGATATTGCTTCCGCGTTTAACGTTTCGATGAAAGCTTCCCAAGAGGATAGAGAGCACAGCACGCTGATAGCTAACAACTACGTCCTTTTGTCTCAGCGCGGACGGAATCCGCGTCGCTTCGAATAAGACGCCGTGGAATTTAAACTGGCTCAGCTATAACGTTACTCTTTATCGTCAGCTAAACGTCCGATCCAATTCGCCGCTGCTCCAGAGGAAAATTAAATTTTTTTAAACATACCTGTCATACTTAAAAATACGAAACTTCGTAATTCTCGATCCTCGGGTGGTATTAAATTGTTCGTCGCGATAAATCGAAGAGTAAACTTGGCGAGGTATCGAGAATATATAAAGTAACGAGGACCGAGTGATAAATAATTTTCACTGCCGTCTAGGTGCAACTTGTTCAATTTCCGTTGCCGCGTCGGAAGCGGCGAGCATATTTTTCCCCTCGCCAGCCGCCACCCGCAGCCGACACACGACCGATTGAAAAGTCCTGCTTTCTGCTTCTATGCAGCCTCTTTATGCTCCTCCACCCTCTTCTTCCTGGAAACCTCTAACCGATTTAAATTGCTCCTCTTTTTTTTTTCATTAGCAATTTTCATTAATGGCTACAGCGATTCAGCTTCCACTCGTAGTTACAGTAAAAGCTGGATATATGCAACAAACATTGGGGCCCAGACGTTGCATATATCCAGCCGAGGTGTCTATTCTGCGTCCGTACACATCGTTTGTATTCAGCTGCGATACCTATTCTACGTTCGTACACAACATGCATCGTGGTGTACGGCCTGCCTTATACATATGTAGCCAAGGTGTCAATTCTATGTTGTTTATTCTATTATTATTGTTTATTTATTCTATTATCATTCTGTTATTACTGTTAGCTTGTAAATTACTTTAATTTTCAATAGGAAGAAACTGTCCGGTTTCATAGAAATCACGGGCTGTTCCTAACATCATAAAGCACCTAATTTGCAGTCAATAGTTCAGCAGCATATTCAGAATAAATAAATAAATAAATGAATATAATTCAAACTATATCGTGTTTGGTCTCATTTTAATCAGAAAAATCTCACAAATGCGTTTTTCGTTGAATTAGTATTAGTCACACCGATATAACGATTCAGATCGTATTACACCAAATGGAGGGAATAGCGATGTTGCATATATCCAGTCAATCTTTCGTTGCATATATCCAGCTTTTACTATACGTTGCAAGGAAATAAAGGTACGAGATTGGATCGAATTGCAGCAAATTTGCGAATATGTTGCAGAGTGCACGCGTATCCAGACGAAAAGAAAGAGAGGATGGAAAACATACTTTTTCCGCTTGGAAATGCGTCCTGTTTCCGCGAGTGCCCGCGTAGCCACGCGTTCAATTGTCTTCTCGTCCCATCGGCCGTTCTACCGGCTGTTTATTGCTATCCACGTACGAGCGGTTGATACCGCGGAATACCGCGTATTGCCGCGAAAGAATGGCGAACGGTGAGTACCGCGTGTCCCGCAATTATACGAATTATGTCTGCGCTATTCAACCAGCGGACAATGCCTCTTTCGCGAGGCGTGGACGGGCCCGTTTCGTCGAACGTCACGAGTCGAGCACGTTCAACTGCTCCAATTTAAACGAGACACGAGTTTCAGCTTCCGTTTCGATTACCCGGCCTTTTTCAATCCTTCACCGTCCTTTCGTTCGCAACATTCGATTCCAAAAGGTATAAAACTGTATTTACAAAGACAATGTTAATTCGTGATCGCAGAAGAATCCTACTTTAACAAAACGTTGAAGACAATTGAACTATCTAAATGTTTGCAAGAATACCTTTACGTTAATTCGTCGTTTCTTTCAAGGCTGTAGAAGAATTTCAACGTTCTATACGGAGACTGTTAGAGACGGGGATTTGGTCTACCTCAATATTTGCAAGAGCGACGTCAAAAGAGTTCTATTCGAAGAACGCTGGGGACGGATCGAGAATTGGATTACTTAAATTTTTGCAAGGGCGTCCTCGTGCTAACGATGAAGGTAACGTTAATTGGACGTTTCCTTGGGGGTTGGAGAAAAAAAAACTTCAACGTTCTACCGAGAGAAATGTCAAAAACTATGATGTTCAGGGTATCCGAAGAGCGTCGCTCTTACGTTCAATTGACTCGCGTGCAACGGCACTCGACTTCGTTCGCGAGTTTGCATACACTATTATGAGACTACTGAAAAAATCAGGAAGTGTACGCTGTTATGAAACGTTATATCGCAATACAAGCACCATTTCCGCGGCTGTACGTGTCCCACGGTGCTATGGCCTATTCTCATCCATCGACTCCGCGTTCCCGTATTTATTGTCGCGAGGGCGTCATGCTACGGCAAACATACAGGTCTCGTAAGTCAGTCGTTCGTGCAGCCGGTTCATTATTCAACTTGCGTTTATTATTTACGCAATATCAGCGCAAAGCGCAGAAACGACGAGATCAATAAGCCTACAGGATCGAACGGAATGCGCAACGCGATATATCTCGCCGGGCGATCGTGTTGGTTTTCTAGAATGCTTCTAAACACGGTTCTCGTTTCGAGTAGATTAACATCGTTCCGACGATATTATAGAGGACACGTCGTAATACCAGGGTACAGATCCGCGAATGGTCTTGGAACACGAAAAGGATCAGAAACGCTCGCGTAAGCAACGATGTCCTGTTTGATCCCGTTTCCCAGTTGGGTCATTTGCGACGACTCTGTGTGGAAAACGTAGACGTGTAGCGTACGCGGCACGGGTGTTACCGTAATTGAGAAACAACGCCAAGTAGGACGGTCGTTTTATTATTTCGGGCAACGTTTCGTTCATCCGAAGTGGTACATCCGCAAATTACTGAAAACGCTTCAACGTTCTAATTGAGATCGTTTAAAGCCTAATAAAGTTCTCTAACTTCTCCGTGAAATGGAAGAAAAAAAGGAATCGACGAAAATCATTATCAGCACGGTCCGAAAGGCTGAATCGAGGGAATTAAACACTTTTGTCCTGTTATCGCGAGCCATCGCTCGTTATCACGAAATTGTTTCACCGACCGAGCGATAAATTTCTTTCGTCACGATCGCGCTTGTTAGTAGAGTTTCCGATACAACCGATAATCAAATAGCGCGGGAGTATCGCTTAATCCGCAATCAGATTCGTAATCCGCGACCGGAAATTATGATCACCGTCGAGTCCTTGGTAAATCCAGCAGTCTCGTTCACCTACCATGGGATCGGTTCGCTTCTATATTTTCCCTTCGCCATCCCCCAACCTTTCGTGTGTGTCCACGTCCCACAACGTAATTGTCTTGCCGCTGTATCGGGGTCCAGGTATCTCTCGGTCGGCACCGCACAATCTCCGTGGTCTGCCGTCGCATCGACAACGCACCTACGCACGCACGTTGCAACAACAGAATCCGTGCACCGAGAAATTACAGCAATTACATCGGTCCGATTCGCAGCATTCCACGCTTCGATCGTCATCGATGACGACGATACGCTATCGCACGATTAACGGTCAACCGCTTCTGCAAATACGATCCTCGTAAACAAACACCCCGGGCGTAGCAAAGCTTTTATCGTTTTTTTACTGCTCGTAATACACGTGTCCGACGATCGGCATCAAAGAAATTGACGCGGTAATTTCAAGCGTGTCCGCGACGGAAACTATTACCGGACGCAGTGATTGTTAATAAACTATCGTTGAATCGTTGCGTGCCTCTCTCACGGAAAGTCGCGGCATGGAAGAACGCGAACGAACGCAGAGAAAA